CTTGACCAAGTATCCTCTGGGTAGCCTAAGAACAACCGTTTGAAGGCGAGCTAAAGTGAGAAGGCTAAACATTCCCTGTATAGCGTTGTTCGCTGGGTTTGGGACCCGCCACGTAAAAAAAACCAACCCAATGAAAACGCAACATWAGCCTCGGATGAGAGACCCCACTTTTAAGCGCGGTTGTTAACTCGGCTATAATCGCGTAAGCGGTGACAACGCCAATCAAGAAGAAGAAGAGTATGAACTAGAAGTTTTTAATGCAAAATAAATCTTTTTTCGCACTTCTATTTAAAAAATAATAATTGTGGAAGTGAGTGAAGAAAATTTTGCGAATATTGTGTTAATGAGCACGAACACACTGTTGCTGGTTGCCTGTCATATATAAAAACATAGCTGCAAATATATGTATGTATATTTGACATAAACAACTTATTTCTAATTGCTAAAAGCGCATAATTTGTTGCATATTCACAACAAATTACGACTTTTGTTTGGTTTTATTTATTACTTTTCAGTACGGTACGTCACCCCCGCATCCCGCATGTGTTAACCGGTTGTAATGACAGCATTTATTAAGTTCACAACACTGCCGCTGCACTTAACGTGTGCTTACAAATATATATATATTTTAATTTTCATTATTTTTCTATATACCAACACATATGCACATATACATATAGAAGTCTGTATATTTGTGTGTGCGTGTGTAGAAGTTTGTGGTCGCCCTGTTGTTGCTGTGCAACGCATAGAAAAATTAGCTTAATTAACTTTTATTCACTTAAAGCGCATTTTCCGCTGACTTAACGCTGCGCCATGGCTGCTGATAGCGAAAACAAACAACACGCCAACTTGCAACAAAGTGCGGCAAGTACCCACCATATACTCGCTTTTTACTTGCCATACTTTCTCGTCAAGTAGCCAGCCGATAATGTTATTGCTGTTGTTAGCGTTGTTGTGTGATTTTATTGGTGTTAATAGCATGTTTGTTGTTTTTGTTGTATTATTGTTGTGTTGAAATGGACGCGCGGGTGCGCCTAGTTGCGTGTTGTGCCGTTAACTAGCCCAGTGATGCAAGTGCACCGTATTTGGTGTTGTTGCAGTTGAGATTATGACCACTTTTACTGTTGCCTTTGCAACAAGAAAATTAAGTCAAAGTCATGTTAGCGGTTCACTTGCAATATTAACAAGTTGCTGGTAGCGCTTTTACTTTCCATTTTATGCGTTGACCGAAATTAAGCTTCTTTTCTTTAAATACTGTATATGTGTGTATATGTGCACACTATAGGTTGGTTCTAAAATAAATATAAAACAAAGAGAAAACTGCAATGAAGCTTTAATACCGCTCACTTTGATCGACCAGTTTGTATGACAACAATATATTATAGAGGCCCGATCGGAACAATTTGTGCGGAAATTCCTCAGCCAACTTGAATAATAATACATACCAAATTTCGTGTAGATACTTGTATAGTTTTCCATACAAGGTGTTATCAACCAACCTGTACCGCAACTCTATCCCATTTTTTTACCGACAAATTAGCAGAGTCTTAAAAAGTAAAGGACGTCTACGAAACTTCAATTCCATATCTCAAAAACTGAGACACTAGTTTGCGTATATACAGATGGACCGACGGATCATATGTTTTATAGAGTCTCTGACGTCTTATTATAGATATTGCAAATTGTTTGTCGCAACTGTTGTCGGTGGACTCGGACCATAGAGAGAGGGGTATGTAAGGTTAGCACAGCATGCAAAGAGGTGGTTAGTGTCATGCGGGGACTCGTTGCAAACTGGACATATATTTCGTAAGTCGGGTTCGATTATGGTTAAGTAGGTGTTTAACCTGCTACGGTATCCAGAAAAAAGCAGCGCCATGATCACTCGATTTTCGCGGCAACTCGTGCTCTTCATCTGCAATGGCTGGTGGTTTGACTCCTGGTATGCGATTCACTGAGAGAAAGTCGTTGAAGGTTTCACTGTGAATGGCAGTCAGTGCATATCTGAAGTTTGTTTCGTTCGAAGTTTGGTCGGCGTATTGTTTTGTGTCGTCGACGTAGTTGAAGAATGCCATCAATTATCTTGCCTTTTCCCAATGTGCTGCCGACTAGCGACTTGAGGATTTTGTTGCGGCTCTGTAATTTGGCAATAATCGTGGTCGTGTGAGAGAGAAGGAGCACAGGCTTTCGAATGTCACACCTAAAATCTTAGTTTTATTGACAGAAATTTTAAGGTTAAGTTTGTACACGTTCGTCCAGTTAGTGAATGTGGTTGCTGTGGATTTAATGGGAGAGAATTTTAGGTTCCTTGCAGCGAGGAAGCGAGAAAGGTCGGAGAGATAGCCCTTGCAGTCAAAGTTGCGTTTTTTGTCGGCCAAACCGATACAGCGATACTGTACCAAACATTGCATTTATAAGGCTTTCTAATTTAAGAATCATATGGCGGTCAAAGCTCAGATTTTTCTAGGAATCAAGTACACAGGCGTCCAACAGTTACATTATAGGCGAAGAGTTGCTGATCGGCTTTTGTGCAAGTAAATATATTGCTAAAAAAAATAGAGATATCAGTCCATATATTTGTAAGATATCAAGAAATCAGTTTTGATCTTAAGCAAAATAATAATTTCAAATTTTTTCTTTGAAAAACATGCAACATAAAACGAATTTTTTTAGTTTTTCTAGAGCTTGGCAAGATTTCATGAAGAGTTGTGTAATACATTTTTATAATACTAAGAATTATTTCAAATCATTTAAGAACCTCCCTAGTGCACATACATGTATAGTGTTTTCAATAAATGGCTTGAAATTGACCTATATATCTCTTATACCATACATACTTTCTATCTACAAAGCGCTTTCCAATAAATAATACCTATTTATTAATTCTTCATAATTTGTGAGACTAAAAAATTTTCAAATTTATTCATAGCATGTGGAAAGTTATGATTTTATGTGTGTCTAATTACTGTCTGGAAATAAGCTTAAATTTCGTGCCTCATTAGATAAAACATTTGTTCTTAAACGTACTGACTTTTAAGCTTTAGAAATAAATAATAATTATTGGAGGTTAGAACTGTTGGGAGATTTCTTGCAACGAAGTAATTACTATTTGTGTTAGTGAGAATAGCTAAACAAATGATTATTTTTGATACAGCTAGGCTCTGATCTCACTCTTCTGAAGAGTTTTATAAATTACCTGATCAGGTGTCTGAAAATCCCTAAAAAAATCCTTAGAGCTGTTCCTTGCTTTAATCTAATATATGTATGTCAAAGATATTTCTTACATTTTTTAATTATTCAAAAAACTATTAATTATTCAAAAAATTATTAATTATTCAAAAATAGCGTGGAATCAAGATTTTTTAATGGATAAGAATCTTCATTGACCTATTTTATATTTTTGGTATTCATCAGACGGAACATCCTTTGGTCATATGAAACATATTGAAACTTCGATAATTATCGTGCCAAAAAGTAAACTAAATATTCCTTACAATATAGTCAATCGTCTTCGAATTAAAATTCAGAATCTAAAACGAACAGAAAATCAGAAATCGTAAGTAACATATTCGAGACTATCGTGGCATTATTTTCAAACGAAAATGCATTTAGAGGTATAATGATATTTTCACAGCGTACACGGTTTCTATTTGATAAAAGCAGCATCTTTGTTCTGCGGCATAACTATGCTGTGAACTTTTCCGTTCTAGAGCGGTTACAGATTTTCCCTTGTGGTAATTGCTCACTATCTTTGCTCTCTGCGGGAACAAACTTTTTGCAACTCTCTTGCTTGCTTCATTGGCGCCTGTCAGCGCAGCTCTCTTGAAATTCTCCAGGTGCAAGCGGACATAGTGGTCTGCATCGCCTGTAACGACTTTCTTGCTCTCTTAGCTATAGATGCAAATATATTCAAGTGAACACTTGGTTACGGACGAGACCGTCCATTCTGGAAATTGCACCTAGATTCGCAGATTCTTCTGATAGTTAGATGCCGCTATCGATATGTTTAAATGTACAGCTAGCTTTCAGAGAATCCATTCCATAATATTCCATTAAGACGCTGCAATGAAAAAATTCTTCTCCCCGGAGAGAAATTATTTCTCGATATTGAATATATTATTGAATTTTCAATTGTTCATAAAATTTTTTCGATGACTCATGCCCAGCTCTTGACCGATGCTACGGCTGCTACTATGCCGGTCTCTTTCGACCAATTCAGCGACAGACCTCCGGAGCGTGGCGCATCTTCGACCACCTCTACACCAGAACAAAAACGTTGAAACCATCGTTGTGCAGTGGAAATGGAAACTGTATCGGGTCCATAAACTGCACAAATTTTATTGGCGGCTTGAGATGCATTTTTACCTTTATCGTAGTAGTACTGTAAAATATGCCGTATTTTCTCTTTATTTTGCTCCATGTTTGCGACGCTATAACTCACGAACGACTTAAAAGTAACGACCATCAATCAAACACGTGTTAGCGTGTGAAATAGGCTTTCCAAAAAGGTATAGCATGACCCGATGCGACGAATAAAACTAGAACTACGCACTCTCAACGCCAACTAGCGAAAATACCGCAAGACTTTTTTGACAACCAATATATGCTTAAGGTTTTTTCAGCTCTTTTCGTATAAGTCCAGAATTATTTATGAGTACATCCATTAAGAATTTTGAAAGTCTCTGTTATCTTTCATATCGAGAACGAACTTTTTGTATCGCTGTCAAGTTTACTGAAACTAACATATTTCAGTTTAACTAACCATTTCCCGAACTCAAACTTTGGAAAAACTGTCTCAATGGTTCGGTAAAAGGTTAGTTAAGCTGAAATAAGACAGTTATAGCTGAACTGGGTTTAAAATATATTCAAGCATAACTTTAACGACTAATAATCAAAAATATTCACAATTCCCCCTCTCTCTCTCTCTTTATTTGTTAGGAAATTTTTGTCTTACAAAAAGACAATATCTTTAATTTCTAAAATCCATGTGCTTAAACTTTCAGTTGTAAAATTCCGTCACAAAAGCACAAGATGGAGAATGAAGTTGTCGCGCCCACACCAACCAATGCCAGTTCCACGCCTACAACAACTACAGCACCGCCAGCCGAGGTACAAACAGCAAAAAGTGATACAGCAGCAAAAGACACGACAACAACACGCCCTAAACTTGAAGGTTATGAATTTTACCGCAAAGTCCTTGGATCACCCCAGTATGTGGTATGTGCAACAAAAGCAAACTTAATTTATGAATATAAATGTGTATACAAGCTTACACACCTTGCTCGTATGTGCTAACATTGAAAATAAAATATGCTTTCTCTTCGTATTTCGTTCGCTTGTAGGTGGCGCCCATGGTGGATCAAAGCGAATTGGCCTGGCGTATGTTCTGTCGTAAGTATGGTGCCCAACTGTGCTACTCGCCCATGTTCCACAGCAACTTGTTTGCCAAGGATCCGAAATATCGCAAGGATGCGCTACAAACATGCCCCGAAGATCGACCGTTAATTATACAGGTTTGTTAGCCAAATCAAGATTGCATACAAGCCACCTTTTGGCACGTGAAAGAGGGTGTGATTTTTTGGCTGAAATATAGCAGGCGGCATTTTAGGTGTTAAGCGAAGAAGATGATGGAAAATATCAAGTGAAAGCTAGTAAGGTTTTTTAGAGTTCGGCTACGCCCGAATATTAAAATAGATTAGCAGGAATAAGGATGTTTGGAATATTTCCGCAATATTCCGATATAAGAAAATTATTAAGTTAGTTAATTTGTATAAGACAGCTAAGAGAAGTCCCAGACCGATTTCTGACGAGAAAAAAATTTGTGTAAATTGGAGCGTTCTGCTGTTGTAAAATCCAATTACTCTCATTTCGGTCTCCAGCAAATTGAATCGGTACACTTTCGAATAAATCTGCGTATATTTTCGCGGCAAAAGCAGTCTAAACCATAAGAGATTCCCCGCCATGGTTCGCTTATGCCTCGGGTGTCTTAAGTCTCGCCAGCACTTATAACGGCTATCCGGACCATCTATAACTAAACTTAATTATTTTATAAAAGTTGATGTATACGTTTGACTGTCCGGGTCAATTGTGATCAGATCATATAGTAAGTTGATATTAACCGTTCCCACGACAGTCGGGTCTACGTAACCGGAACGGACCCGGACCAATGGAGGTGTTTTGACTATGTTTTATGCAATCTTTTGGCGAGTCCGGATCAAATGTGATCCCATGGTTTAGATTATAATGTGCCAAAGTAATGAAAATCTTTATATTTTTAATCGGTAGATGAGAGCTGAGATAGTAAAGTCCGATTTCACTTTTTTGTGAAAGAGAGTTACCATATTCGGATTTATGTAACCGTTACTTTTAGAAACCTAACATAAATTTCATACACCGAATTTGGGGATGTAAAATGTGAAATTTAGCTTAATACTTGTAATGAGAGTTCTCGAATATTGAAGTAATATTATTTAGCAAAAAATACCGTTATGTGTGGAACAAAATCCGAACTTTTGCGAGTCCTTCTCTACCCATGCACAGGCGAGGAAGTTGTGGAAGCCATTGAAGGAGAAGGGGGGGAATGTTGGTGGAAGGGTTTGCTGTAAGAAACTCTCTATCAACTCCAGCTTAGAGTTCCTTGCAATTGCAGTCCGAGATTGCAGCTATTAAGGTAGCAACAAATTTACTGCTTCGGACTGCAGCCTCCTGCAGAGAAGCGACAATCCACTCATATAGCAGAGCGGCGATACTAGCCTTGAACCCATTGGCAGTGCGTTCAGGGCTGATCAAATAGTGCCTAACCTCGCTATTAGTAGTATGAAGTCTCTTTGTGATAAGACTACGAAGGGTGCAGGCCACAGCGGAATTGCAGAAAATTGTAAAGTTGATGAGATAGTAAGAAAAGGCACCATAGAACCGCCTCTCCCTAGTTTTGGGGCTTTTAACGGGCCAAAGCGCTATTGGTGCTCACGCTGTAAGGCTGGCTATCCTACCAGACGCCATCTGCAGAAGCTACATGTAAGAAGATGAGGCGGAAACAATTCAACAATTCCTTCTTGACTGTCCCGCGTTTGGAAGGCCAAGGCTTAAGCACTTGGTAACGCATACTTTCTGACATCCCACCGAGCTGTCGGAAATGGAAATTAAACGCCTGTAATGTAATGTAATGTAATGTTTGTAGTGGCTTTTACTAATTTGTTAGTTCGAACACAGTTCTTCTTTTATATAGCCTCATGCTCGTACTACATATAGCAACCCACTTGCGATCTTTGCTAAGCCATCTAACTTAACCTAACCGTTATGTCAAAAATTTAGTAATTAGATCAACAGCAATCATGTGTCTCTCAAGAACCAATCCTAAGATCATAAATATCTTTAAGAAGATAATACATAAGGAACGAACTGAGGAGAGTCGGTATGTTGTTTGTAGAGTTAATAGGTGCTGTCTCCTGGATGGTGAGTTTCTTTGAAGGTTTTTACAAATTGCACAAATTTTATTGGCGGCTTGAGATGCATTTTTACCTTTATCGTAGTAGTACTGTAAAATATGCCGTATTTTATCTTTATTTTGCACCATGTTTGCGACGTTATAACTCACGAACGACTTGAAAGAAACGACAATCAATCAAACACGTGTTAGCGCGTGAAATGAGCTTTCCAAAAAGGTATAGCATAACCCGATGCGATGAATAAAACTGTAACTACGCGCTCTCAGCGCCAACTAGCGAAAATACCGCAAGACTTTTTTGACAACCAATATGTAAGATGAGAAGGACACATGTGTGTATATAGATATCGAAATTGGTTCACCAAGCAGCGTGGAAGTGACTAGCGGCATTGAACTAAGGATTGGGTGTACTATTAACAGCCCGAACATAATAAATATACATATGAATATTTTAGTATTTTTATTTATGAAGAATATTTAGACATGCGATTTCCCCCCAGCATCTCTGACGAATACAAAATTAAAGGCAACCTTACAATAAACATGATTTTTAATTGCATTCTGTCATGACATTGGCATTGACTTCACTAATAGGCAAATTTCTCGTCATAGTCTTCACGCTGTTTTAATCTTTATTTATGTGAAATTCAAGAGAAAGTCATTAGAAATACGCAAAACCTTGAATTGAGCACCTCAAAGCACAGAGTCTCTCAAGGAGCTTTGTTCAAATTACAATCCATCGTTCAAAGACATTTTCCATTTTAAATGTGTTTCTCGAAATCCTTTCCATTTCATTTGCAGTTTTGCGGCAACGATGCAGAAACGCTGCTGGAGGCTGCACTCTTGGCACAGGACCACTGTGACGCTGTCGACATCAACTTGGGCTGTCCGCAGGCGATTGCAAAACGTGGCCATTATGGTGCATTTCTGCAAGACGAGTGGGAGCTGTTGGCGGAAATTGGTACGTATTGTATTGTTGCTGCTTCCACCATTCGCATAACCTTATATATTTACGCTTGCAAACATTTCCAGTAAATACACTACACACGCAGCTCTCTGTGCCGGTGACGTGCAAAATTCGCGTATTTGAAGATCGTCAGCGCACGATTGAGTATGCAAAAATGCTAGAAGCGGCGGGTTGTCAACTGCTCACCGTACATGGCCGAACACGTGAACAAAAGGGGCCGCTGACGGGCATCGCCGACTGGAGTTACATCAAAGAAGTAAGGTACAAGTACACCATTTGTTTCAAATAATTTTTAATGACAGTATTTTTACATTTATACGACTTTTACTATATATGTATATATGTATATGGATTGTATGGCTGAACAACGGGTTCAATTTTTTTCAAGCATCTTTAAAGATCTTATAAATACTATTTTAAATGAACTTTAACTTACAATAAACCACCACTTGGCTATAACCGCGTAAGAAGAAGAAGATCTCGACCGTTCCCAACAACAACAATATTAGACACTCATTATTAATATATTAGGACGCTAGCCCTAGTAGTTCTTTCTCTCAAGTAGCAATAATTACCCATAACTTCAAAGCCGTATCTAAAGAAGTATTCGATTCGAAATATCAATCAAAATCAAGAATAAAAATCTAAATCCATAAAGATTAAAAAAAAAAATGTTTCGTGGTTAACTTTGTCTCCTGAAACTTTTTCCTGCACTGCCTCTTTCTTCTCTCAATTTTCGCGCAGTTACATATATATTTTTTATTTGTAATTTAGAAATCACTTTAGACTTAACTAAAAGATTTACTTTGTTATTATTCCTTTATAGACAACACATAAAAATACCCATGTTTGCTAATGGCAATATTCTTGGTCTCGAAGACATAAAGCGTTGCTTGACGGAAACAGGCGTCGATGGTGTCATGACTGCTGAAGGTAATCTACACAATCCAGGCATATTTACGGGCCAATCGGTGAAAACCTGGGATATGGCAGCAGAGTATTTGGACTTTGTGCAGCAATACCCCTGCCCAGTGTCTTATATACGTGGACATTTATTCAAAATCTTTCACCATTTGTATGTATACATAATTTTATTATTATGCAATACCCTAATAATATTATCTTGTTTCCAAAAAAGAATGAATTTAAGACCAAATGCAGACTTACGTGAAGAATTGGCAGTGTCGAATCAGTTGGAGCATTTTCGCACTGTCGTTGGAAAAATTAAGCACAAATATGAGCCATTCCATATGGGTGCGGAGGTTTATGTTGCGGAGGAGGTAGACCCCAGCGTTTTAGTCATCGAAGAGGGTGTAAGTATGTGCCTAAGTGCTTCGACCTTGTTTGCCTTGTGGTACACTGCGTATGAGTAATTATTTAATGACATTCATGACATTTGTACGCAAAGGTGTGAGCAGCAACTATTATTATTGTTGTGCAAAAAAAGAACTTTTTTCAAAACAATGTAGTAAAAATATATTTAAAAATTCTATTTTATTATTGTTATTTAAAAATATTTAAATATATCAGATTTTAAATTATTAACGATAAATAAAAAAAAAAATTAATGAAATTATCTGATTATAAATTATGACATTTTTTATGCTCCTACATTAATAATTGACCTCTAATCTTTCACAGTTAAATCTATCCTTGCCACCGTGGCTATGTCAACCGTACATTCGTGTACCTCCAGAGCTGCATAAACAAATTATAGCTGAGAAGGTGCGCCTTGCTGAGGATCCCAATAGACTGAAACGTAAGTTTTTCGACCCCGAAGGCAATGAGATATCACGCAAGCGCATGAAAAAGTTACGCCGACGATTGCGTCGTCCCAATAAGCCAGAAGGCAAACATGAACGTAGCTTGGAGTGCTGTGATCAATGTGCGAATCCGGTCGGCATTAAATGTGAGTACCGTTTATGTCGCATCTGTTGTCGTGAGAAATGTTACACTGAAAACCGCGATTGTCCTGGACATGGTATATTGATTAAATCGCGTCATAAAAAAGCGAAGAAATTCGAAAATCAAAAGGAGTGTAAACAAAATTCTGGTGTTTCTGATGATGTGGATGAAGCGACAAACGAGTGTAGTGCAAACGAAAAACTGGCGAGGATTTTACACAGCGCAGAGACGAATACTGTTCTCAGTGGGAACAGTTGATTTCTAATGATTAGAGTGTACTTATTAGTTAAATTGCGTACATATTTATATGTATTAGATTTAGAAAAATTAGGTGAAACTATGTTGTACCAAATGCAATATTCAAATAAATTTATTATTGGTAAATTGTGCCAATATATGTTTTACAAATATATTTCCATTAGTTCTTTCCAAATTTGATTAGTATGTATGTGCCATATTCGTATTCATTAACACACGTACACTCACTTTGAAGTGTTTTGTATTTTTGAAAACACAATCCATTGCAGAAAAGTGTGACGTATATTAAGAGGGTTATTTCGAGTGACGGCGGTTTTTTTTCAGAATTTTTATAGTGAATTGGAAAAACACAGAGCTTCGCAATTTTTACTACGAAAGAATAGTTTTGGGTGAAAAAAGGACGTGTGCAAAATTAGAAATCGTTATCACAAAAACCAAGGGACTAGTTCGCACACATACAGCTCGTCAAGCTGATCATTTATAAATATGTACTTTGTTTAAATATAATAAAGCATAATTTATTATATGTAAAAAAAAATTTCTATTAAGTTTTTATAGTACCTAAAACTTTAACTTGTTTGTATCTGACAAAAATAGCGAATATATATACAATAAATACAAATATTTGCGTAACAAATTTTTTCAATAAATCAGGCAACCCTAGATTGCACGTGTAATAAACAGCTGATGTAAATATTTCAACCGGCGACATCAAAATATAAACGTCACTTCTGTTAGAAATTGAATTGTTTTGCTATTTGACAATAAAAAGTGATATAAATTCAATATTAAATAAAACACTAATGTTAAGTATGAATAATCTTTAACTTGCTAAACTTAATTTTCCATTAAATAACAGTTAGTTGCATAGAGAAGCAAAAAGTGTTTATTTGCAATTAATAATGGAGAAAACATATCCGTTTTATGACTTATGCATACCATATCAAAAGGACTCGAAAGCGCTGAAAGAAATAATTAAAGAGGCAATCAGTCGTAAGATATTTGATATTTATACTGCTATATGTTTGCGAATTTTTATGTTATTTTTATACATATTTGAATTATTAGTTGGTTACAAAACTGTTGCTATTGAACAAGTGTTTGATCACAGCAGACGCGATGCTACCAAGCGTGTTCCTGACATATTTCCGCCCCCTGTTGCATTCAAATCGTTGGAAGATGAATTTAAAAATCAACTAAGAATTTTACAAAGATTAACAATTTTATACGTTGACGTTAGTGTAGCGCATGCCATGGTAAACAACTTTAGATTTAATAATATGCATCCACTTAATTGTATTATTTTTCAGACAAACTCACTTAACTTAAAGAAATATGATCTGGTGGCCGGTCAACCAAAAACGGATGCTGCTCTAACAGTAATTTAAATTTATAATTAAAATTTTTTACCTTTTAATACATATGCATATTTATTTCTTCAGCACTGCTGTACAACATTCGCAGGCGACTTAGTGACATTCGACACTGATGGTGGTGTAAAGTTGTTGGTGAATCGAAAAGCATATCAAATAGGTGTCAAGAGAGGCTTATTTTTCGAAATAAAATATGGACCAGCAATCAGAGACTCCAACGTACGCAAGGATATGATAAAATTGGCACACAATTATTGTGTTCGTGGCAAAACAAAAAGCTTAATTTTCAGTAGCGGCGCAACTAATCCTTTTGAACTGCGTGGACCGTACGATGTGGCCAACCTGTAATATATGAATTAAATTACGCTACGAAGGGTAATAATAACTGCCAGTTATTATTTGTTTTTTAGGGCTTATATCTTTGGCTTGTCCGAGGATCAAGGAAAGAATGCTGTGAATAAAGCGTGTAGACAGTTATTTTTGAGAGCTCGTACGTATAATATTAAAGTTAAAAATAACCGAAATATACATATATACTTATGTACATATTCATATTTAATGATTATTAAGCGAGATTTTTCCTATCACTACCGTTAAATTTTTAAATAGCTTGCATTGATTTCATATTTTTGCAGAGGGTCGTCGCATTGGTAAGACATTTATGTTCGTAAGGTCAACCGGGCCAGTGGTGTTTTCCGACTCATCTGATTCTGACGATGATGATTCCGAGCAAGCAGCTGCTGATGATAGTGATGAAAATGAGGAAATGGAAAATTTTGTGGATACGAACTCGCCCGAACCACCCAGTAAAAAGAAAAAGAAACTTGTCTAGAAATAAATGATATAAAAAATATTTATTTCGTTTAATTTTCCCCATTGGTTGCTATACTAAGGTTTATAAAATATAAAAGGTAGTAAAATAACGAATTAAGTTCTGTTCATTAGCATTATTATATGAATTTATTAAAAAAAGCATTTGTACTCTTTAAAAAGTTCTTTAGCAAATTAAAATATTCTTTCCAGCAAGTACGGCAGCACAAAAAATTTTTTTTTTAACAAAGCAACATTTCTGTACCATTTTAGTTCATACAAAGGTTAAATACTATGTGCTACACTCCGGATACTGTCTTTTAAAATTTAAGTACACATCTAAAAGAAATGACAACATTAAAACTTCTTAGATATGGAGATTTAACCCAATTGTGTTTAGATTAATGACTTATCTTGAACTGTTTCCATACATTTCTTAGTAATACTGAAACGAAATATAAAGTATCAACAGCAGCTTTGGTTGAAAGTAAAGAAGTTTTTTGAGCTAGAAGTGTTTATCTTAAACAAATGTTTTAGATTAAATATATATTTTTGATAGAGCAAAATCACATTCGCTCGTAAGAGGAAGTAATTTTTCCATTCCACAAATTCCTCTTTTTGTTGAAATTAAATGTTTGAGATTAATGTGTAATCATATGGCAATGCTTTAAAGTGGATCGACGTTTTGAACTGTCATTTGAATGGTCGTCGGCAAAAAGAATGAATTCTGAAAACAAAATGGAGGTCTTTGATTTGGTGCGTACGTCTCTGTGCTAGTGTGAAAAAATTGTGTAAACGGTAAAATAAGTGAAAATTAATTAATAAATATTCCAAAAGTTGATTTATGAATCTATCAGCTATAGTTTATTGTAAACTTTTTATAAAATAATTGTGTAATTACAGCGATAAAATACTTTGAAAATTTTTCGCTATAGTTGGATTGCAGACACTCGGTGAAAATCGAGAATTAGGAGAAAACGAGTAGAAGAAAAATTTCTGTACTTCGCGTCAACGATAGCCAACGAAGGCGATGTTGGTTTTTTTCGTTTTCATTTTCTGCTGTTCATCGTTAGTATTTGGTTGCGTTTCCCCAAAAAGCGATAGCAGTTAATTTTCTTTTGTTTTTTGCTTGTAAAAAAATGAATTATAAAAAATCGTGGATCGGTAGTGCAAAATGAACATAAACAACAAAGTGCAATAAATATCTGTGATAAAAATAAATAGGAAGCTTCGAAATGAAACAAGTAAAGAATAATTCTCAAAGAGACGAAATATATTAAGGAGAAAAAAAAAACAGTAAGATAAAAAACCGCATGCTGAAGATAATATTAAAAGATAATTGTGTAAAGATTGTTGAAAATAACACAGTGTGAAAACGGAAAAGAAGGAATTCCTCTTGCTGAGCGCGGCGATTTGCATAATTGAAATTTGTGGTACTGGACTTTTGTGTGCTTGAATGCTATATAGGTGTTCGTGTATGTACGTTTGACCGTCGTACAGTGCCCATAGCAGTGCTCCCCATTCGCGACCGCACATCGCACCTTACCCCACTGGATTTGATTTCATTCGAGTTTGCTTCGTTTGTCTCCGCGACATAGAGAGGCAACTCGAGATGGCGATTGCGATGGCGACGTCAATGACTGTGTTTGCGTTTGTGTTGTAGAGAAGTTTGTTATAAATTAGTTGATTGCTTTTTTAATTCATTTTTTCTTGTCTCGCTCTTCGCTCACAGTGACACCACTTACGATGCCACCCCATCGATTATGATGAAACAATAGTTTAATCATATAAATTTTCATTTTAAAGCAAATGTGTATGACCATATTGTTTTACAAGACGTCTTGGGTGCCACTAATTAATGCTTTATAATATACATATATCTACATACGCAAAGTTTTTTGCCGGTTGCATCGTGAAAATAACATATAAAGAGTTCAAGTTAATTTTATGGTATTATTAATTCATTTGTTACTAGTGGTAGTTAACAGTGGCTGCCGTTTCATACAATTTTTATAACCAAGAAAAAGTCGCGTATTCGCAAATGTTCGTGTATATGCAATCGTTATAAAGTGCATTCAAACCGATGAACATTGTAATTTTTTTTTTGTATTGTCGTCATCGGGAATGTCGCCGAATACACTATTTCGTGTGTATGTGGATACGTGAAAACATGAATATGTACGTTTTGCTGTCACTTGCACCTGCACCAACATTGACGTTGAGCTTTCTCCACTATTAGCTAACTCTACTACTATCTTCGCTTTTTTAAAAATAAAATAAAAACTTGACTTCAAACTTTCATTCTATAATTAATATAGGTTGACTTGGAGTAATTTTTATTTTTTTTAAATTATTGCATACAAAGTATATGAAAACAAATTTCATTTTGTCGAATTTGAAAGGAAATAGTGAAATAAATTAAAATGATTGTTTTTGTATAAGCTTTGAAGTTATACAAATACATATTTGAGAGATCATCTGATGTTTGAACACATATAGTATATCTGTACATACCTGTATATGAGTTTATTTATTATTTTAATTCAAATGAAGTAATTTTTATGAGCAAATAGAGAATAGTTTAACAAAAATTCAGGTCATTTTATTTAAATTGGCTTGTGTAGAAACCGGCAGACCGAGTGTTGGCACTGTAAATATACACAAGGGTACATTTGTAGATATTTACATCCATTTTGAAAAGCAGATGCAAAAGCCGGAGAGTGGTAATGTGAGTAAAATGTGAATAAAAACGTTGCTTGTCGCACAAAATCGCTTTTACTCTACTTATTGTTCGCTTCTTTCACACACCTCTTGAATGTGAACGAACATCGATTTTAGCATCTGTACGCATTTTACAATGTACTGATGTTTGTACGCGCCACGCTGTGACGCTTCTTGTGTAAGTTGATTGCTAAAGATACATACGCCACACTTTCAACTGCTGATGTATTCTCATACAAACATACATA